GTCTATATTTTACTCCCACCACAATGATTTTACCCATCAGCTTCTCTGCACGGACTAGCTCAACTAAACCCTTCACAAAATGTATAGTAATATGTCAGAAATATGTCTGATCTATTCTAAGAGAAAGTAGAATACCTTGATGGTGAGGATGAGCAAATCCTCTTGCACAAAATACAAAACATTTCCAAAAAGACAAAAAAAAAAAAAAAAAAAGTGGATGAAGAAAAAATCTTAGTGGGGTTTAAGGTCAAAATGACAAAAAAAATGTCATAGGTTAAATTCAAATTACTTTAGTTGATGTCAGAAGAATAATTATTAATAATCATTCCAGTTACAAAATTAATTGGTTAGAAATCAAGAGCACCAAATGTGTTGTTTTGGTCAGATTGGTGTCTGTGCAGATATCTAAGCGCGTAGGTCTACAGAGTACACGCTTCATTATTCACACACATTACGCATACACATTATAAACTTTGCCATCTCCAGGGTGAAATTCAATTCTTATCAGCTCATTAGTCCACTAAAGGAGGCAACCCAAAAATTTAAATTCAAGTGATGCATTAACTGGTTACAGCATTAGAAAAATAAATAAATACATATTAGCAGATATAAAATGTCTGCCTCTCCTTCAAGTGTGAGTGGCTATATTTATAATGGAAGTAACTGATTTAGAGTTGACATTTTGAACCGTGTTAACATTTTATTTACATTTAGAACATTAAAAATTACTACAGCATAACTTTTCATGTCCATTTTCAGGGGAATTTGGACCTTTATTTTTACCGCAAGGATGCCGCCCATTTTAAAACTAGCATCTTCCAAAAGCTGCACAGGACCAAAGTTGAAAAGGATAAAACAGCGCAGACAGTACAAATTCATGTCCTGTTCTTTTTGTTCCAGAAGGAATCAAAATACAAAACGACAGAAAGTGCACTACAAAAATGGCGAATGAGTGAAATGACCATCAGACTGAATGGAGAGTCTGCCCTCCTTTTGATTACCAATTGCTCCTTTCATTTTTTTTTTTTTTTGTGCTCTCTTGATTTAATCTTTAAAAAGCACAGGGATCCTGAACTTGGGCAACTTTTAGTTTTCTTCCCCAAGTAATAACTTCCTCACAGAAGAGTGTTGTGGGAAGCACAATCTGTTAGTGCTCGACATAGTGGACTGCTAAAAATAAGATTAGATGTCAATATGTCTAATCTTAGAGTTCACTAAATTAATATACAAGCATCAAAGGAAAGTAGTTATGCATCTGAGTTAGCTCTAGAAGAAAATACAAATATGGATTTTGGCTAAATCTACAGGATTCTGATATAAGGGGCAATCTACAGGCCTCACAATGTTAAAACATTGTGAATTGTTTTTTCAAAAATACTGAGCCTCATTTTCAGTCGCATTTAGGTTCCCTTCCTGTCCTAGATGTTTTTATCTTGACATTTTATAGTAGAGTACAGTAAAGCAAGCAGGGAATGGCACCAGAGCCTCCCTGACTTTATGTTAAGCTGCTTCTTTCACACCCCATCCCTTCTCCAAATCGCCAATCTGGTGGCATGGTACGCGTGTCCTGCTGGGAGCAGCAGGTGGCGGTAAACAGGTACGCTGAGAGGCCACTCAATCAGTCAGACACACAGACAAAACAGATGACTCTTACTCAGCCCTTTGAGTCCTCATGTCTTGTGACTCTAATCACACGAAGACTCATGTATTTATGAGTACTAAGCCGACACCAGATGAGAACACAGGGAGGAAAATCATGCTTTTGAATGACCGCTTCAGATTTCACTCATTTTAAAAATAAGAAATTAGGAGTCTTGCCTTTTTTGATATATTTTTTTTACTGTGTGTGTCACTACTAGGTGTAGAGACATTTTTTTTTTTTTATGAAAGTTTTCCATTAAAAAAAAAACAAAACAAAAAACATTTGGGGATATAGCCATCCTCACAGGTAGCAGTTAGCAAGCTGCTATAGTAGCTGTGCTCTGTTTAGAGCAGATAGTTGCCCTTATAGGACGGCAAACTCTTATTTTTCTGGCTGTCTGGCTGGCCTACGAGCAGTTTGTGGCTAACCCTGTTTATATATACTGGATGCCAATGTGAGCTGCCCTCAACTCTCACCCTGTACAAAACAGTGTAAACCACCATCGGCCCAGGCTGTGGTTTGCTTTGGTCCATGTTTTCCTCGGTAGGGGGAAGTGGGCATGGCAGCCTGATGTACACTCATTCTGATTTCTGCTTGGCTAGTCAAGGTTTATGGCAGAAACTGACAGCTTTTACAGAATGATTGTTGGTTATACTGTATGGATGGTTTGAAGTATTTTAGAAGATTTGTAAATGCAGCAGCCACAAAGAAAACAATGGCTTAGAGTGTGTTCTTCCTCTCTGAGTGGAAATCCTGAGCCATTACTTTGAAATGTTTTTTTTTTTTTTCTTTTTTAGCTTATGCTGATGGTTACATTAGCTTGATGTGTTACATGTAGCTCTAAAATGTAAAAAAAAAAAAAGAAAAAGAGGAGTACTACACAGGGTGCGGTTTAATGATGTCACACAGGAAAGCCCAGTGACTGCTTCAGATTGTGTGAATGTGCTTTGTCATAAGATTTGGCTTGGCTGTGAAACATTTGCCCTATTTCTTTCTCTGCAGTTCCTCACCATAAGAAACAAACTTTGGCACAATGAAAACTCAAACTACAGCAGAAGTTTTTAATAGTCAAAAATAACTTTGTTTATGGGGTTAAAACATAAAGTAGTGTGCAATTGTGAAACAGAAGGACAATAAAACATGGTGGTGTATTTAGGCCCCTTTACTCTGATATTCTTAAATCAAATCTGGTAGGACCAACTGCCTTTAACAGCCTCTGAGGTTCACCTATGTATAATTTAATCTCAGTATAAATACTGTAATTATTCTCTGAAGGCATGAAAGGCTAGTTGGAGATTACAAAAAAAAAAAAAAACAACAATATAATGAGGGACAAAAAACATCCTAAAATAGAAATAGCATTGCACAACTGACAGACCGTGCAATGAGAGCAAGTTCGTGGAAACTTTGGAGGAGCTGCCGAGATCCACAGATAGTTATCAACTCGACAACTCTGGCCTTTAGTGAAATGCTTCAGTTTTTGCAAAAGAACTATAGGAGACAGATACAGCTGCAGTATGTAACCTTTGTTAAAAATATATATATTTATTGTTTTTACATATTTGTTGAAGCTGTCACAATTGGCCAGTAGGAGGACTTGATCTTTTCACAGATCATCAGTCTCATGTTATACTGTGACAACATGGTGGTAGTTTTAACAAATGCATAAAAAATAAAAAAAAATAAAAAATTTGTAAAAGTTACATACGCCAGCTTTAAGATCAAAATATCAATTCTCGTCACGGCAGCTGTGTGTAGCAGAAAATCAACGCTGCATATCACCCTGATCACACCAACCCCCATAGTGAAACATGGTGGTGAAAGAATAATGCTCTGGGCATTGTTCTTTTCAACGGTGATGGGAAAGCTGGTCAAAAGCCTGATGAGAAGGGATGGAACTAAATGCAGGGGAATCCTGGAAGAAAAACTAGGAGAGACTGGGGGGAATTTACCTATAAGCAGACCAATCCTAAAACCCGGCAAGACCTAAAATGGATTGATTTGATTAGATCCTACTCCAACAGAGAGTCAGCGGAAAGAATTGAGAAGTTATGTTTACACATTTTCTCTATTCAGTCTGACTGAGCTTGATCCATTTTCTAAAAGTCGAAAAGTTTCAGTCTCGTACTGTGGAAAGCTGCAACTATGTATAATTTTTCTTTCCCCTATCAGTGGTCTATCACATGAAATCCAACTAAAATGCATTGAAAAGGTGGAAAGTTTCAGGGATCGTTGATACTTCGTCTAAAGCATTGTGTAGCTTTGATGTTTAACTAAACCCCGCTAAGCTCAATTATTTTCTTCTTCACCTTTTTTTGCTGTAACTTCCTCCTCAAACTGAGGTGATGGCATGATCAGCAACCGCCTGCCTGTTTCTGTGCTTTCTGACTCAAAACAGGAATCAACGCACAGCAGTCTTCGAGCCGGGTTTTGAAACCTTGGGCTTTATTTGACGGTTTAACAATGCGCGTCTGCACTCTTGCCTGTGGTATGTTTTTGTGTTTGTGGTCGGATTTAGTCTCAGCTTTTTAAGTAATATTTCCTTTCAAATTAACACAACTCCCTGAACCAGCCAGTTTTATAGAAGTCTCGCTCTCCGCGTGTGTAGGTTGCAGCATGCCAGAGTGGGCTGATTTATTGTGATGTTTTTCAGTAATTAGTCTGTTCTAAGTATTTATGGAGTCTGGTGACCACCTCGCCACCTGTTTTTGAACTAAAGCTTGCCCAGAGGGGTCAATCGCTTGTTAAATGCCAGATTTATAACAAAAAGCAGTAACTTCCACTTTTAAGAGTTTGCAGCAGCTGAAGAGTAAGTAAAACAGGTGTTAAAAATGAAAGCAAGCAGCTTCGAGATGCAGTCGTTTCTTCACTCTAAGCCAACAGAGGTGCACGGAGACGCTGTCCAACTTTTCTCTCTCATTCTCCGCTGCTTTTTTTAACCCTCCCTCGGTCTCCCCAAACAACCCCTTCGAGTTTCTTTGCCCCGGTCCCTTTACAGCAGAATCCACTCTAACACAACTAAAAATTCATTTTGTCTGACCTAAATCAGAGGGTGTCTGCGCCACGGGCTTATTACACACTGCGCTTAAACTTGTGTTGTGGAGGAGGATGGGGTATTATTATCTTCCAGCTACCCACCCTGCTATAAAAACTAGTGGTGCGACATCTCCACAGCGCAGTGCTGCTGCCCTCCCTCCCTTCCTCTCACTCCCTCGCTCTCGTCCTACATGATCTGCGCGCACACACTCTGAGCCGTTGAGCCTGACTCTAAACTCCACACGTTTTCAGACCCCGACGCTCACACTCTGTTCATGCACTGCTCCGTTTCCCTCCACTGGATATTTTTTTCTTAAGGTGCTTTTTTTTTTTTTTTCTTTCCCTTCTTCTCTTTCCTCTTCTTATTTTCATTTTATTTTTCTGAATGGGCATCAGTGCCCAGAGCGAGGAGCTTTTGAATGGACTGACCTGCTTGACAGCTGGGCAAAAAAAAAAAGAAAGAAAGCGCGGCAGCTGCAATTCAGTTTTAAGAGAGGGATGCTGAGAGGTCAAGTGAGGAGCAGCGGAGCCTCTTAGTAGTCTGGAAATACAAAGACACGTGAGGGGAATCGTGAAAGCTGAAAGAAGGTGGGTGATGCTTGCTGATAGCTGTGGAATGTCAGAGAGCGTATCAAGACATGTGTAAATTTATGTGTAAGCAAGACTTGTGCGCCATGCACATAGGTGAGCGTTTGTGTGCATGTGTATAGAAAAGTCTATAATAATTTGTCAAGGAGTTACAACATGAGCATGATGGTGGACAAGCTTACACTTGTGCATTGTGTTACAGCGTGCACATGTGCCTTACTCAATGTTTATGAGTGCTGAAGCTCTGCTTTACTCTGGAAAGGCATGAAACTGGTCAATAAAAATGACCCAGTGATTCAGTGTTTTTTCACGCTACAGCTTAAATACATGAGCTGTAAAAAAAAAAAAAAAAAAAAAAAAAAAAGAGGGAGTGAAATAACCGGAGCAGATTTAGCATCATAACACATCTGCAAAGTGGCAAACAGAGCAGTTTTCAGTGAAGTTTTAAGTGTGTGTTTGGGTCGTTTGGTGTAATTACATATTTCAGTTTCCATATTGAGGCGATGTTCTCTCGGCGAAATCCAAAATAAATACTCAGGTGATTCGTAAAAGTTAAAGGAGGTGTTTGGGAGTGCGGACAAAATAAAAACATGTTATGGATTTAAACTTAAGCTGCAAATTACTGTTTACACGCCCCTTCTCATCGCCTTCTTACGTCATGTCACAAAATGCAGCAATGACACAAAAAAGTGTCATGATTAAAGCTTTTTACCCGCTGCTGTTTGTTTCACTCAAGTTTGTTGTTATCATAGTTAAGCAGATAACACCACTTTTAATGACATAAATTGAAAGTATATAAAAAAGAGACCCCTACTCAACATGCTTATTAAGTGTGATAAAAATAATATAAAGTAGCAGATCTGTGTCAGAAAAATGCTGTGCTTTGCTTAACTAATGTAACTACATAAATATCTACGTTTTTCAGCAATACGTCTGCAACTTTGTAGTAGAAATTAATGCTCATATATGCTTTACAACTCATATAGGTTGTATATGTATATATTTATACGTGCACTTATTTATATATACACACACACTTTGCAAACAAAGGTTAGAATCCAATGTATGTCAGTAAAATACACAAAAAATACACTGAAATAAAGTTGAACACAAAACGTATCAAAATCAGTGACTTGTTGAGCAAAAATGTGAATATACATAGGTGTAAATCTATATATATATATATATATATATATGTCTACATATATTATGAACAAATGGTATAGTGACAATTGGCAACATAAGCTTTCAAAATTTACAATTAATTAGATTATAGCAATATATACTTTATTATATTTATTAAAAGAAATTGTAAGAAAGCAATACAAAGTACTTTCTGCAACTTATATTTTTGTTCAAATTGATCCACTAGTGAACTTTTACACCGGTTTACTACGCCTCGTCTCTGACATGTCTTCATTACAGTACAGATCCCATTATAAACCTCCCTCCGCTGCTGTAATTGACAGCACTTAAGCATGAAAATTGTCCCCATGTATCTGAAAAAGTTTCAAAAACTGTCCCATTAAAAAATAAATAATAAAAAAAAAAAGCTTGGAGCGTGAATCGTGCCCTGCAGCAACAGGTGCACTGTTTACTGGTGATAATGGACTGGGCTTACACAACGGCTTAAATGAGTGTCCTCTCTTTAATGAGGGGGTGAATTGTCTCTGTCAAATTATTGGCTGGGCAATTGTCCGTCTGTGACAGCTGTTTAGCAGGCGTTTGCTATGGCCAGTTGGTGACGGGTGGATTCTGGCTGATGGTGATTTAGCATGTGGGTCAGGTGTACGCGCTGGCCTGACAGGGCTAAAGAGGGCTTTGGCTGTTGTAGCTAACAGGCCAAATGAGTGTCTGCTTGTGACAAGGAGGGCTCGAGATGGACATTAGCTGCTGATTTGTGGCCTGAGCGGTCAGGGCTGGGGACGAGTTAGCAAGTCCACTCCGGGCATAATGATGATACAGCTGCAGCATGGACAGAAAGAGGAGGAAGAGGAGGAGGAGGAGGAAGATTAGGAGAAGAAGGTGGTGGTCAGCGCCCGGAAAGCAGATGAAGTTCTTGGAGAAAGACAACAGCGAATAGAGGTGACACATAATTTGAGGTGGGAGTGCTGAGTTGAAAGTGTTGGTGACTAAGTGAGGCATGAGCGGAGACGTGGCCGCTGCAGAGAAAGACACAGAAAAGCCTTTATTAGAAGCAGTTACTTTGAAAAATCTGTTGCTACAAAGCTTTACACAGAATTACCGCGAACTAGGCATGCGCATAAAGTTATAACACAAAATTTAGGTTTCAAAACCAAAATTTTCCCATACACCGCTGCTATGGCTTAAAGTCCTGTTAGAGAGAAGCCAGAGAACGTGCTTGAACGATCTGAGCTTTTTCCGGCCGCATGAAGCATAAAGTACCGACGTGTTGACGCTCCCCCACCTATTGCTTTCCATTGCTGGTTTCCTGGCTCAAAAAACGGCTTCTACACCTTTTTCTCCACAAAACAGTGAACAAATTCGACCTCTTTGCAAAATAAAGAGAAAAAAAAAGATTAACAATCGGAGTGTTCAAGCTAAGGAGTGCCACCCATAAACGTTAGAAAACAACAAAGTTTTACAAGTACTAATAAGAGATGAATCGGTTAAGCAGCAGGCTGCAGGCTAGCTACTCGGGCAGATACCCCAACTAATTACCAGCTAATAAAATCTTTTTGTACCTGTGATACTCAACAGGGAATTGAAAAATATGAATACATTTAGATGTTTAGGTACATATCAAACTCAAAATAAATAAATGTAATTCAACCTTTTTTAAGTAGGAGAATACAAATCTTACTGTAATTTAGCAGCAGTAGATTTTTGTTGAACTTGTCTGTTTTAACTGACATGTTATGTATTTTGTCTAAAACATCTGCGCAAATACGGTGAAATCATGGCGTTTTCTTATCCGAGATTATCATTCTGGGAAAAGCTCATCCTGGCAGAAGTGTAAAAGATGTGACTTTTGTTGTTTTTATTGATCAATTTAAAGTCTCATCTTTAATGAACACTTGTTACAAGCTTACGAGAACCCACTGAGACTTTTTTGTTGACGATCTTAACTTTGCTTTAAGAAATAATGGACTCTGAGTCATAGTAATTACCAGTGCCCTTTCTCAAGGCGTCCCCACCCTGGCTGCTTGGATGGGTGGGTGGGGTGTGTAAGTGTGTGTGTGCGTGTGTGTGTGTAAAGGGTTAAGATTGTTTGGCTTGATGAAAATGTCGCTCCAGGACCTTGCGGTGGGAACGCTGTGCCCTCCTCCCCTCCCTGCCTATGTGGCACATCCTCCTCAGATCCTCTCCACACTGTAATTAGGGGGCCGGCCACCGAGAGCCAAACGCTGCATCTAGTGGCAGGCAAACAGTGGGAACGAAGGGGAGTGGCGCTCGCCAGGGCATGGAGAGAGCAAACGGCAACAGCAGCACGTGGCTCCACGGTTCCAGGAGCGAGGTGGGATGGTTCGAGAAGAGAAATGGATGACGGCTATTGCGCCCGAGCCCTCCCCAGTCCCAGACTCTTTTTCTCTCTCCCTCTTATCCACTCCCGTGTTGTTCTAAGCTTTGCACTATTGTTTGCCTTGGCAGGCTGCTCCAGGGAGGGGCCCCTCGGCTTGTGTTTGTGCAACCTGTTAGGGAACTTTTAGGGCCGTCTGATCTCTAACTGGAGATTCTCCCACCTTTTAGCCACGCTGTTTCGCCTGTGAATGATGTACAGAGGTTGCGAAATCCTCACATCTTTATAAGCTAAGCCCCAAATCAAGGTCTTATTGGAAAGACAATTCCAACAAGAATCGTCTTCCCAGCACTATAGTTCATCCAGAACTGTATGAACAAGAAAAATGTCGTGAAAAAGTGAAAGATATCAACATGGGATGTACGGTGATGTATAAATCCAGTTTTAAGGCGGGCAGGGTTGATCAAACAGGCTAAAGCCTTCAATATTTTTTTTTTGCAGACTAAATTCACATGAATTAAATCAACTAAAAACGTTAAACTTTTAATTTATCCTTTGGACCTAAACAGTGACAAAGATCACCGTATTTTAAAAGTTGTTTTAAACAAGATATTTTGAACAAGATCAAAATAATATTTCATGTACTATTTTAATTTTACTTGCTTGCCTCCTCTCTATATGTCTGGTCATTTTTATTCTCCCTTGCACTGTGAGGCAGGAGATTCTGGTCTGCAGCCCTATACGCTGCACCACCGCCCCCTCCACAGACATTTTAATTATGTCCACACTGTATCAATGGCATGAACTCGGCTTCAGTTACCAAGCAACAAGATCGACAAGAATAAACTACATGTAAGATTGGTATCCAAGTTGCGTACCTGCAGGTGAACTTAGGGATTCTCTGTGTTTTTGTTCCTTTTTTTTTTTTTTCTTGTATTTTTCTCTATTGTGATTCTGAGCTGCACCGAGAAGAAAGTGAAGGCACTTTTTTTGGTGTATGTGTGTATTTATGTGGCTTCGGCACTGGCCCGTTTAGAGCCAGTCAACAATGCAGCTGTGGTGTTAGGGGCCGCTTCAAAGTGTTTATCTACACATGCCTCCAGTGACCACCAAAGTGTGGATGGCTAAGTTTGAGCTCTATTCATAGATGTGAATGAGCGAGCGCTCTGCCAGAGGAAGTTTTATCACTCTGAGCATAAACAACAGCACAGTGAATCAACAGGTAGGAACTCAGGAACGTCGGGAAAACAAACCGAGGGAGGAGACGTTTTACAGCTCACAGCTTAGAGAAAGCTCTATTAGGCCCCCGCCAAAGGAGTGTAGAACTGACTGCAAGTAAGCATTTTTGACAGGATACAGTATCTAGAGAACAATCTGACCTCTTTTGTTGCTCTCTCCCCCTCTTCTTACCACATCCCAGTCACAAACTGCATTGTTCACATGAAGGTATCAGTTTGCTCCATGCTCAAATCTTCCAGGCACAAGACGAGAAGGACGGACATTATCGCAGAAACCTCGCCACGCACTTATCACACCTCTCAGATCAAAACTAAAAGTGTGCTTTATGCTTCATGTAGAAGATGGGCTTCCCTAACTCACGGTTGCCACACGAGGATTTGTAATAACACATTTCAAGAATAAATATTACCCAAGAATGTGAGGATTGCTCAAAGTGAGGCGTGCTGTATTTGCCACTTGTTGCCTGCACTGCACAGATGGCACACAAACAAGCACTGCGAGAAGGGATAAAGCTTGATTGTGGCTCAGTGCGTGAACAATTTTAGTTTTAATCATCATTGCTTATTAAGTCCTTTGCAAAAACCCAACACATCAGGTGTTGGTCGAGCATGTCCGACCCACAGCACTCTTTTAAAAAAAAAAAGATGTTTGACCTTTTTAAAATTTAAAGTGCCAAGTGCAAAATCTTTGAAGCAACTCGCTGAAAATTAAGTTTGACGATGCAGCTCTTTCAGCAGAGAGGAACAGGAAACGAGACTTATCATTAAATGCCAACAGGAAATCAAATGAGGCATGTTCAAATTAATCACTGTTTAATATGTGACAGTTTGCTGCGCAGATGAGGTTTAAATTATTCAGTTCAATTCAGATTATTCATATACCCCCACTTCAAAATGGTTGACTCACTGATTTTGTTTGCAATGCAAATTATTTATAGTGACTGAAAAATAACTTCAGTATTAAATATATTTTTTCTACAGCCATATCAATTTCTTTTGTGGTGCTGTTATGTAGCTGAAGTTTACTGGTTTAGAGCGAAGTCGAAAAGAAACGGGAAAATAAAACACGATAAATCAAATATGCAACAGCAAATTATCTAAAAATTATTTTTACTGTAACAATGGTGGTTCTTGACAGGGGTTATTTGGCTTTTTTTTTTTCCCAGGACAGAACCAGCATGGTTGGGAGGAACTTAGCAAAAATAAAAAATAAAAGCGTGTTTTCATGTCCAGTTAATGGGAATGGGGCTCTCCACTGTAGTGTATACAATGTAAGAATATTTTTCTGTACACGCCGACTTACACATGATTTAGAGCTTATGACATGGCCCCATAATAAAGGGCTATTCCTGCGGTGTGTTTGGCCTGCAATTGAACATCTGTGGTTCAAAATCCTAAATATTCAGATTGGTCAGCTGCATAGTTCTAGGTTCCTGATACAAAAACAGGCATTTCAATACCGACTTTGGCACTAGGATCACAACAACATGAGAAAAGAATGAAAATAATTATATATCCAAAGGTCAAACCTGGACTGAGTTATTCTGCAGTGATTACAGACGCTTTAGAAGGCAGATTTCAACACAGATTTGTCAAATTTTTAAACTCGTAAATTCTCTTTATGGTGTAAAAAAGGTTTTATCAAAAATATTGTAAAAAAAAAAAAAAAAATTTAATCTATCATCCCTCTGCATCAGTTTTATTTACTCATAGAGTAAATTGTTTTGTTTTTTAGCAGAAAAAGCTTGCTCAGTGGAGTCAGTGTGTATGTAGTGTAGAGGCTCACCATTCATGTGAAAACCACCACTGTTTAACTTTAAATTAGAACAGATTTAGTTTCTTACAAGGTGAATAAATCATTCAAATGCAATGTAATTTAAGCAAACATCTCTTTTCAGACGTTTCAGTTTGTCTGACTTTGTTGCGTTTTTTTTTTTTTTTTCCCCCCAACAGACACAGAGGGAGGAGGATGGTTCATCACAGAGAGGAGGACCTGATTGGGATCCCTTTCCCAAACCACAGCAGCGATGTTCTCTGCAGCCTCAATGAGCAGCGGCGAGACGGGCTGCTCTGCGACGTCGTCCTCATCGTCCGTGACCAGGAGTACCGCACCCACCGCTCCGTTCTAGCTGCCTGTAGCCAGTATTTTAAGAAGCTCTTTACCGTTGCGACCACAGATGGCGGAGACCCCCATCATACCGCTGCCGTGTACGAAATCGACTTTGTGGCTCCAGAGTCCCTCACAGCCATCCTGGAGTTTGCCTACACCTCTACCCTGACAGTGACCGCCTCCAACGTCAAGGAGATCCTGACCGCGGCACAGATGCTCGAGATCCCCTGCATCATCAACGTATGTCTAGAGATCATGGACAGCGGAGATGGAGGTGGAGGAGGTGGCAGAGAAGGAAAGGAGGACGAAGGAGAGGAGGATGAAGAGGAGGAGGAGGAGGAGGATGAGGAAGAAGAGGACGAGGAGGATGAGGAGGAAGACATGGGCTCCAGGAAGGATGAGCAGGAGGAGGACAACGTCAGTGAGAGATCTCTGCAGTCGTTGGAGAGCAGAGGGGAGCAGACGCCTCTGGGGACGGAGGACTCTTCTCCTCCCAGTACCTCCACTTACCAAGGACAGTTGGATCAACTGTCCCAGTCACAATCTCCAGACAACATCAGGGGTAAACAGGTATGTCTGTTTGCTACTAAGGGTGCAATCCTACATCCCACTCAAAATATGAGACATCTATACAGACAAAACCGTAAAACAATCCCTTCAGTTTAGCCCTGATAGGAAGATTCAAAGCACACATGTTAGGAGCTAAAGATTTGGTAGCTGCAGTATTTATGCCATAATCCCAAACTTTTATGTCATTCTCTCATCAATTCCCAAAATACTGATTTTGCTATGGTAGTAAAAGAAAGAGTATTTTGTAACTAGCCTAAAAAGATTATTTGGCAAAATTATCAACACAAGAACTACTTCCTTTCTTTTTTCTAAGTCTCAAAAATAGAAAGTACAGCATTTATATTTTTTTTAATTATTATTTTGTGGCCTTAATAATGTGCTACAGTTATATTAATAGACACCCCCTAAAAGACTCGGTAGGTTTCCTAATGCAGACCTCACCTCTTCGAGACAAATTGTGAGGTTATAATATCCTAAGATCTTGTTACACTCCTGTTTGCCATTTATGTGTTCAAGTTTGTCACGTTACAGAAAAATTTACTGTTGACGTTTTTTGTGTTAAAGGAGAGTATGGAGAGTCGGGCCCTCAAGGATTTCTCCATTGAGTCTCTTCTCCAGGAAGGGCTCTATCCCCGGATGTCTGCACTTGACCGGAGGGCCAACTTCTCTCCTCTCATGCCTGGCTTCTACCCCTCTATGTGGGCTGCAGAGTTCCCAGCTTTCCCCCAGCAGCTCCTGAACCCTGCGCATCCCCACACTGCATCCTCGCCACAAACACGCTTGCCTCATACCTTCCCAACCTCCTCACTTCTCGAGCCTTCGAGGCCCCTCGATCTAGCTGTGAAAAGAGAAATCATCAAGGAGGAAATAAAGGAGGAAGTCCCTCACAGCCTGCTCCAAGGTGACTTCCTGAAAGAATTTGTCAGCTCGGGTTTGGGAGGCACCATCAATGCCGGCTCAGCGTCGTCAGAGAGTCACATCAAGGACGAGGCAGACATCAGGTCTTACCTGAGCTTCCTGAGCTCAGCATCCCACCTGGGGGCGCTGTTTCCACCCTGGCAGCTGGAGGAGGAGAGGAAGATGAAACCCAAAGCCTCACAGCAGTGTCCCATCTGCAATAAAGTCATCCAAGGAGCCGGGAAACTGCCGCGACACATGAGGACGCATACGGGGGAGAAACCTTACATGTGCACAATCTGTGAAGTGCGATTCACAAGGTACGTGAACAACAAACCACATGAAGACAGAGTCGTGTTCTGCTTTAAATGCTTTTTTGAAACAGCTGGGTTAACAGAAAAGTACGCCATGTTTTTCTGACTGAGGTTAATCTACATTCATCTCATCTAAATATCAAAGAGTTCAAAGTGGAAAACCCCTCCACTCATTTTTCTTTCTATCAGCATTATCTCAGTTAACTACACCCTCCTACTTTTTGCATTTTCCGCTTCTATTCTAGGACAAGGGTATAATTTTGTCACAGCAGACATTAAGCATGAGAAACTACAAAGGACAACACCCTCTCATTTTTGTCACTATCTTTCAGCCCTCATTATGTGTGCATCATGTCTTTTGCAGGCAGGACAAACTGAAGATCCACATGCGGAAGCACACGGGTGAGCGTCCCTACATCTGCCTTCACTGTAACTCCAAGTTTGTCCACAACTACGACCTGAAGAACCACCTGCGCATCCACACTGGTGTCCGTCCCTACCAGTGCGAGCACTGCTACAAGAGCTTCACGCGCTCCGACCACCTCCACCGACACATCAAGAGGCAGAGCTGTCGCATCTCGCGTCCCCGACGAGGAAGGAAGCCGTCGGCCTGGAGGTCCGGGCCTGCCACTGGCTTCCTGTGTCCTCCCACAGTGTCGGCCGGTCAGGTGGAGGAGAACGGGCTGAGTCCCGCGTACCAAGGGGTTAAGAACCACGGACTGGGGGAGCTCCTCGGCCTCAGTGGTAGAGGTTTAGGGTTTAAGAGTGTGGAAGGCTCGGTCAGGGAGAGCAGGGAGGAACGGCAAGCAGAAGGAAGGCAAGTCGCGGAGGAGCAGAAGGCTGGAGCTTTGAGGCAGAGGGGAGTGTTTGCCTTTGCCCTAGCTGGAGAAGAAATGCTTACCCACTCTCCATTTTACGCTGCAACCGCTGACCCATGGACCATGCGACTGGAGCGTGCTCCACCCATCCCCGAGTCGGCAAAATGAACTCTAATCTGTAGAGTAAAAATAAGCACAAGAAAATCTCTTTAATTTCTGTGTCTATTCTGCTCCAGGAAGCTAAAGCACCTTTTATAAAAAGGAAAAAGTGAACTTTGTGAAGCCTGCTGATGTGGCAGTGGTAAAGCTGTTTTTTTTTTTTTTCCTTCTTCATACGGTCCAATTAAGTTATGAAATGGTTGTTCAAACCCATGAATGTTTACATATATCTCCAAAGCATTTGAAAATCCTGTAAAATGGCGTTTCCTCACGACACAAAACGAGAAAAAACAAGATTTGACAGATTTGAAGCATTTTTGCTAAAAAAGGATGTATATTAGGAAATTTAAGTTTGAATCAATGAAAGCCGTTATTCATAATTGTGTTTACATGGTTGAAATAACCAGAGCTTAATTAATCTGTCCATTTTTTTTCCTTTAAAAAACCCCCCCAAAAAATAGAAAATCACAAATAAAACCACTTGAAGCCTAAATCGGGATACTTAAGGATATTTATGGGTTGTTATCTTCCGCTGCCTTGTTCTGATTTAAGCTCCTCATCTGCACTATTGTACATAAAACCTCTGGCCGTGGTGGTGTTAATTACGGTGATGTGGCTGATGATGTAAAATAATCATTAAAAAAAACAAAACAGAATATATATGTATATTGCTCTTTACAGACTGAGAAATTCATCCAAAGATGAGTACTTTGATATCTGACTTGAATACAACTCTGTTTTAATATTTAGAAATATGTGTATCTTTGGATGCTGTACAATTCTGCCTAATCTAGAGCCGCTTTAGCTACAAGAGTATGCTTGTGTTTTTTTTTTTTTTTTTTTTTTTTTGCTCTGGTGCAACGATTCAGCGGGAACTTTGGCCCAAATTTTTTTCATGCAATGTTCATCTCTGATTTGCGCACTGATGAGTGCAAGAATTATTTGAACTGAAATGGGAAAGTATTTTCTTGCTATTTATGTGTATTTAAATGAATGAGCCTTGGCTATATTTTGCAAATCTGTTTTATAAAGACACTAAATGTTGACCTTCACTGTTGTCTGCTTGTATTATTTTGGGTGAATTACTTTAGAAGCTGTGGACAAATTTAATTCGGTTGCATTGGGATATGAATAAAGATCGGGGGCAAGAGAATTGATTTTAACTTAAAAAAAAAGCAAATACACGTTTATGTGTGACAGCTTGTATCGTCAGTACATAACAATGAAGGCTTCCAAGAACTTTCAAATAATTTGCATACCTTCATTAGCATAGCAAGACAGCAAAGCTAGTTTATTCTTCGAAGATCAGTGTTTTGTTATCTGCTTTCTGTCTTTCTGAATAACGAAACTACACTATTCAGTATTCACGCCCACAGAGAAAGTTCCTTCCTAGGTTGATCGGCAGTGTCATCAGTGTTATGTACAGTATCAAGATTCAGACTTGATTCAACTCAAAACAAACAGATGTAGAAAATAAACAAACACATGATCAGATGGTTTGTTTTGATGGATTGGCTTAAATGTCCGATCGTTTTACTGATTCAAACATGCATCAGATAGTAGTTAGTAGTTAGTATCGATGGACACACCGTGGAGAAAAAAAAAAAAAAAAAAAAAAAAATCTAATTTACGGTAAAATACCGGTAACTGTGGTTGCCGGAATTTTACCGCAACCACAGATGCCGGGTTTTACCGTGAATTGGAGACGTGTTTCTTTGCTTGGTGTTAACAAGTTCTGCTCAAGCGATGCAAGAAAACATGTTTATAGCATCAAATGCAGGCCTACCCACCTGTTGCTGCGTAATGCTGCTCGGCTGGTTAAAAGAATCCTGCACTTTTCGCATATCTACAGAAACTCCAACTAGATGCTGGGTAGTATGTCCAGATTAAAAAAATAAAAAACAAATTGTAATTTACTGCTAAACAAGTGACTACTAGAAGGTATGCGTTGGGCTAAATGCTCCAGTATATAAACATCCAGAGAAATAATTATAGCTTAAAAAAAAAAACTGGAACGGTAACAAAAAAGGACAAGGACCAGAGTTTTTCTTGCTACAATAGTCAGTGAGGAAGATGGCAAGGGAGATAAAACAACGTCTCACTGGGAGAGAACTGAGATTGTGCCACTGCAATATCAGTTTAGGTTTTGTTGCAGGGGCACCAGTAACGTGG